AAAAATATGTGGTATGCTCTTTGTATATAAATAAAGATAGCCTGTCTGATCTTACTATCTTTATGTACCTGAAAATTAAATGTAGAATGTATCAATATAAATGTTTTCAGCTGCTATATTTTCTAAGTAAATATTCTTACATTAATTAAGATATGTAAACATTACATGAAAACTGATACGTGAGTTTAAAACATAAACACACAAATATGAAAATAAATAAATGACTTAGTAGTATTTACTGGGCATGTGAAAAAAACCCACTATGAGAACCATTTACACAAATGTATGAACTCCATTATTGACTATCAATGATTTATACATTTCATGTTAATTATGGTCAAAAGAGCTGATATTGACTACTATCAACAATTGTAAGGGAGGCTTAACTAGGATTTTGTAAAACAGTATACTCCTCTATTTTTCCTGACATCAGGTTTTAATTCAGGTTTTCAGGCTTCCTGAATTGGTCATCAGGAATGTCATCAGGAATATTTAATATATTTGTATGAAATAGGCACAGGCATGGCTTAAATTATAAGCACTAACAAAAATAATATTAAGTAGTTCATAAGTTGTTAATTATGAAACAGCAATCAGAGAATCATCAAATGGACATTTGATGAGCATTACGAGATTTTCATGTCCAATTAAAAACTACACACTGGTCTTCCATTCTGTAATGAAATGGAACGTTTCCATTCTGTTTCTAAGGCCCTGAAATGATACCTGGTAGATTTCTGGCTCTTGCTCTGACCTATGTTATGGGAACTAAGCCCTTTGTGTAGGAATTTGATCATTCAGTTTTTGTAGTCATCACCTGTCAAAAATTTTGTGATTTCTGATTTATAATCCTTTGGGTATATAATAGCAAAGACTTGGAATCAATCCAAATGTCCATCAGTGACAGACTGGATTAAGAAAATGTGGCACATACACACCATGGAATACTATGAAGACATAAAAAAGGATGAGTTTGTGTCCTTTATAGGGACATGGATGCAGCTGGAAACCATCATTCTTAGCAAACTATCACAAGAACAGAAAACCAAACACCGCATGTTCTCACTCAAAGGTGGGAACTGAACAATGAGATCACTTGGACTCGGGAAGGGGAACATCACACACCTGGGCCTATCATGGGGAGTGGGGAGGGGGGAGGGATTGCATTGGGAGTTATACCTGATGTAAATGACGAGTTGATGGGTGCTGACGAGTTGATGGGTGCAGCACACCAACACGGCACAAGTATACATATGTAGCAAACCTGCACATTATGCACATGTACCCTAGAACTTAAAGTATAATAATAATAAATAAATAAATTTAAAAAAAAATTTGTGATTTCTGAAGAGGCACAGAAACCTTGAAATACTGATTTATTTTTAACTCAGTTTACACTGTATCAACTGAAGTAGGACTGAGATTTGAGTGGTGCTAATAAAGAACCATCAGCCTAGATTTCTCCTGAATTTCATTTTCTGATCACTTAAAATGACCTTCTCACTCACTGGCCTTCCTCAAAATACATTGCTTAGGTTTAGCTCTTTCCTTAGATAGTAAAATGTTTTCTTTAATAACTGTAAAAAAATGTTTTCTACCAATGAATCTAGCCAGAAATAGCACGTCTTTTATATTTTATCATCGTAGTCCCCTGCACCTTGTAAATGGTAGTTAATGTTAAACCATTACTTTTTAATGCACATTCGTCCTTTGTTGGTATACATTGAGCACAAATCATAAAATAATTATCTTAACAAAAGTCATTAAAAACAATAAATTTTTTCACAAGATGTTTCACCATACTGATAAATAAGATTTCAGTGTAAAAAAAAACATCAGATATTATTAATTTAAATTCTGTATCACATAGTAACTCAACAGCCACACAATTCATGTTCTGGATACAGCTATTCAGAGATGGTTTACAAAATAGGAAGCCAAGGTCTCTGGAAGATCACAATGCTTAATAAAATTTATCTTTCATGGAAACAAGCCAATCCAAACACTGATTTTATTCATAAGCATTCATAAGTCTACGTTTTGAGGTGTCAAAAGTTATGTTTTATTATGATTAGTCCTCAGTGAAAATAACTGGAAACATGCTGAGATGGAGTCATGCTAATTAGGGGAATGGAATTAGAGTGATACTATTAATATACACCATTATAAGTGACTACTATTTCCATACTTCTTATATAACATGCCATCCAACATAACTGATTCTTTGGTTTTCAGCATGTTGGTTGTTTATTCCAGTCATTTTTTCTGCACAATTTCAACTAAATTCATTAGTTCTGAGGATGTTTAATAGCATTGTAATCGGGTTTTAAAGTACAAATTGCCAAATTTGTTGTTTGTGAAGACTAATGAACATTTTATTTTATACCCCACTTAGCACTTTCTACAGAAAACTGTCTAACTCTAAGATATTTGCATATTTAAAAGATCTTTAAAAACACTTTTGCCCCTTAATGACCTAGTAGGACAGATAATCATAGGTTCCCATGATGCATTAGTCAGTACAATACTGATATTAACACATATCAAAGCAGAAGCATGCACTTTATTCAATACATTAAAGCTCTGAAGAAAGGAACAAAGAAATGCAAGAGCAAAGAAAATTGTGTAGAGCAGCATTTGAATAGCAGCCTATTTATACTTGAGATAAACTTATTTTTGTTGTTTAATGAAGTACTCACTTAAACTGTAATATATGTACATAAATGAATGCACATTGTATTTACATATTGTTACTGATATATTTGCTTCCCCCAAATCACAAGCTATAGCAGTCAAACACTATTAGAACATCACTCTCAGTGACCTGATTTATCCATCCAAGAGCATACACATACATGTATTTACTCACAAAACACATGCAAACATTCACATTCAGACACATGGTCACACAAAATTGATGTTTGTTAGCCAATTGTATGCATAAAAAGTGTAAAAGAATTAAAAAAAATCATACAGGATGTTTATATCATGGCAATATGCTATTAAGTAACTAACAATATTTATAAATAAATGTTTGGCTTTGTATGGCATCATTAATGGACTGTCATATATTTGTGTGCATGTGTCTTTATGCATGCATGCCTGTGTGACATGTGCATGCATGTGTGTTAGTATAATTCTAAACAAGACAGTTGAAATAGTATCCCTGCTTCTTTCCTCTAGGGAGATGAGTATTTTAAGGTAGGAATTATACTTATTTTATATTTGAAGCAAACATCATTATTGGGAAAATAGAACAAAATGTGAAATATCACCATCAAAGAATGACAAACTTTTTCAACTAATTCTAAGCTCTTCTAATGCAATAATAATGTGTAATCATAAATATGTACATTTTTGTGCCACCACTTAGATTACTTGATTAATAAGCATGTTTTCCTAAATATTAAGTGATACCTTGGAACTAACAGAAACTGCAGGTCTCATACTCATTGTAAGTTGCATTATGTTATTTATTTTATTATATTCCAATTTCTATTTTTCACTTTAACTACATATTACAATCTATTCTATAATTATAATGCATATAAGGATATATATATATTCATGTGTATATTCTTCATTTCTATATCTATATCTATATATGTTCTGCGTTGTTTTCTTTTTAAGGTACAAAAAAGAAAGAAAGAGTTAAGCAAGGATGTCTGAGATCTACTCATGCCAGTGTATTTCCATGTTGGAGCACTCCAGGAAAAGAAAGAAGGCAAGGGACCCAATCAAATCCTCTTGTAAACATGATAATGACAAAACTTTTGGTAAACAATCGCGTGGTATTAGCTAGAGAGAAAGTGCTTATCCATAACATCTTTTTACTTGGATGTGCCTCACATAACACATTGGTAAACAAATCTATAATCTGTAGACTTATGGAACAGGGTTCCCTGAAAAATGGGTTATATGCTATATAGTTATAGAAGTATAAAGAGATATTTATGATAAAAAAAAATAGCTCCTTTCTGCATTAGTTATGTGGCTATGCCATTTACTTGGAGATCGCACACGTTGATCTGATTCAGAGTGCATCTCGCGGTCAGGAAGGACATAGGGTGCTGCTGGAAAATCCTAGATCTCTCTCTACTTCATCCATCTCATAAATCCTCAAAATCTTAGAAAAACTTGAGATTTGTTACTGAACACTTGTCTAAATTAAAAATGAGTTTTACTTAACTCAATTTTTAGCAAAAAATTGATTGTCAATGGGGACATTTGCTTTTTTATGGTTTTTGGATTATGCTGCTGTAGCAAATCTTGTAATACATTATTAAGCAGCCTTCATTACCATTTTGGCCTGATATGACAGGATATAATTGATGTGATATAATGTCTTATGATATGATTGATATAATATGTTCTGGCCAGTAAAAAATAAAAGGAGAGCAGATTTATATTTTTCCTGAAAAAATATTTATGTATTTGGCATTATTTTATTTTATTTTTTTACATAACACAGTACTTGAGGGATGAATAATTTACTCATTAGAAAAAATTGCCAACTCAAGAAATATAAATCCCCCAATGCAATACAATTATATATATATGGGTGTGTATGTATATCTGACAATTTATGTGACAAGCAAAATCTATGCAGGAACATTTCAAATAACTATTTACCCTCTTCAGCAAAGAATTAAAATTAATATATAAGCAGAGCAAATAATATATTTGAAAATCTCACTCAACGTTTGTAATATGCCATATTTGTTTTAAACAGAGATTATTTATTTAAGTATTACAGAAATATTGAAGGATATGTAACATTTTCTTGCATGGGTATAAATAATGGATAATCAACATAATAGGGAAAGCGGTTAATTTATTTTCAATTATTTCATTACATTGTTTTAGAAAAAGTGAGGATATGTTTAAAATGTGTTAAAATCACATTATCTGATGGAAAAGAGCATCTAGAAATAAAAACCATTGCTTTTTAATTTACTGTAGCAAACGCTTGCATGCAAGTTATGTGTAAACACACTAACCTGTTTTAGGATCAACGGAGAAGTAGGGTTGTCCCTGGAGAATGCTGTAAACCACTCGAGCACTGTTTCCATAGGTAGGGTCATCTGCATCAGTAGCTGTCACCTGTAGAACAGAGGTACCTGTGCATTCAGGAAAACAAATTTTAGTGTGTGATGGCATTTAGCATATGATTAATTTGAACACAGAAAATGGGTATGGTGAAATGTCTATGGAGATCAGTAATGGTTGTGTCCTAATAAATTTAATTAAATGTATGTATAAAACATATTACTTGCTTTCTTTCCCTGCCATCAACTGTAATCAAAGAGAGTCTAAAATATAATATTGGTCTCAAACCTTTTAACATGGTTCTTTATGTGCTGGTAACATTGTGAATGGTCTCTTTTGATTTTCATTAAAAAAGCAATAAAACATAACCAAGGTTTGGTCGGCTTGCGCTAATAAATCAAATTGGTACTAACTGTGCAGTTAAATCAGAGGCATGATAAAGCTGTATATAACATGTTTCATGACTGTTCTGAAAAGTGGAGGTGGAATGATTTGTGATTAAGTCGGGAAGGTGGGTGAGTTGACATTCAATTATCAATGACATCACAACACTCCATTCAAGTCATTTTCTGTGTTACACATTCTTTTTATTTATTACTTGCATAATTAATGAGTCACATAACTGGTCTCCTTTTTTTGTTTTTTTTTTTGTTTGTTTTTGAGACATGAGATGGAGTCTTGCTCTGTCATTAAGTATGGAGGGCAGTGGCACGATCTCGGCTTACTGCAACCTCTGTCTCCCAGATTCAAGCGATTCTCCTGCCTCTGCTTCCTGCGTAGCTAGGACTACAGGCGCCCTCCATCATGCCCAGATAATTTTTGTATTTTTAGTAGAGACAGGGTTTTGCCATGTTGGTCAGGTTGGTCTTGAGCTCCTGATCTCTGGTTATCTGCCCCCCTCAACCTCCCAAAGTGCTGGAATTAAAAGCATGAGCCACTGCGTGCAGCCAACTGGTCTACTAAGTTCAAATCTCCTTCCTTTAGTGTCTCGTACACAGGGTCAACATTGCACTGGATTTTTTATAATGAAAATGAATTATAAATTCATTTATAACATTAAAAATACTATATTTTGAGGTAATAAAATTATTGAATGTAGTATGCTCATGCCTTTGTACTTACTTTTTAAAACCCAATTTGCATAACTAGATACCCTATATAATATTTCAATTGTTTCTAAACGAAAACTTAATCTAAGTATAACATGACAACCATATATTAAGGGATATACAACTTCATTGCAGAATTAGTGGGTAAGAATGCTCATCTAAGAATTCACATCTATTCATAAAATGTACCTGATGAATCATCTAATAGTGTATACTTGATATTTTATTCCACATCACTAGAAAAATTCTACCTACTAATTTGGGTTATCTATCAAGTAAAAATATTTTTACAATCAAATAATCTTGTATGGAATTTTGTATTCATTTTGGTATTTGAATATGGAAGCACTGACAATTAAGAGTTTTTTATTTTAGTAATGATGTCAATGATTCAGGACCTAATGTCTGTTCAACTAGAAAATGTGTACTTCTAGGCCTGGGTGTGGTGGCTCACGCCTATAATCCCAGCACTTTGGGAGGCTGAGGCTGGGGGATCACCTGAGGTCAGGAGTTCGAGATCAGCCTGGCAAACATGGCAAAACCCCGTCTCTATTAAAAATACAAAAATTAGCTGGGCTTGGTGGCGCATGCCTGTAATCCCAGCTAGTTGGGAAGCTGAGACAGGAGAATTGCTTGAACTCGGGAGGTGGAAGTTGCAGTGAACCGAGATTGTGCCATTGCACTCCAGCCTGTTCAACAAGAGTGAAACTCCATCAAAAAAAAAAAAAAGAAAAGAAAAGAAAAGAAACTTCTATGTTGAACTTCAGACACAACTTTAGGTAAAGCTTGTTCTGTGTCTTCAAGTGATCCTAGAAAATAGAATTAATATGCCAAGTTCACCTAACAATTCTTATTAGCAGATCATAAATATGTATAATATATGAAGGATTCTGGCCCCTATAAAGTATTTTAACAATGAGACTCTAAGAAGAAATATGACTTGCAATTATCCATCCTCAGAGGATGAGAGCTGTGTTATGTCTAAAAGAGATTTCAAATTATAGACCAATAAAATAGTATGGTGACAGTAACTGCTGTTTAGAATGCTGAGAAACTGGATCACTCATATACTGTGGGTAGAAATATGATTGTTTGGCAATTTCTTATAAAACCAAACACACATTTACCCAGTAAATTGAATAGGGCATTTTTTTATTTTTTATTTTTATTTTATCATTATTATTTTTTGAGACAGAGTTTTGCTCATGCTGCCCAGGCTGGAGTACAATGGCACAATCTTGGCTCATTGCAACCTCCACCTCCTGGGTTCAAGTGATTCTCCTGTCTCAGCCTCTTGAGAAGGTGGGATTACAGGTGCCTGCCACCATGCCCAGCTAATTTTTTCTATTTGTAGTAGAGATGGGGTTTCACCATGCTGGCCAGGCTGTGAACTCCTGACCTTAGGTGATTCACCCGGCTCACCCTCCCAAAGTGCTGGGATTACAGGCGTGAGCCACCGCATCCAGTCCTAGCATTTTAACAAATAAATAAAAACTGATGTTCACAGAAAAACCTGCTTACAAATATTCATAGTGGCATTGTTCATGACAGCCCCACACTGGAAACCATCCTGATGTCCTTCAATGAGAGACTTGTTAAACGAAATGGTACATTCATAGTATGAAATATTACTCAACAATAAAAATGAAGAGACTATGGATACATGCAACAACTTGTATGAATCTTCAGGGAATCAACTAAATGAAAATTAAGTAAATCCCAAAAGGTTGTATACTATGATCCCATTTATATAGCATTTCTGAAATGAAAAAAAATTAGAAATGAATAACAAGTTATTATTTTCTGGAGATTTTGGGAGACAGACTAGAGCAATGAAGTTTGGTATAGAAGGGAGGCATAAGGGATCCTTATGATATTGGAGCTGTTCAATATTTTAATTATGATAATTGACATACAAATAGGCACAGCTGATAAAATTCTGTAGAACTAAGCTCACTCGTACACACAGACATACACACACACACAAATGTATACAAGTAAATCTAGGGAAACCTAATGACAATCAGTAGATTGTACTATTTCAATAACCTGGTTATGATATTGCTTTATAGTTTTGCATGATCTTACCATTGTGGGAAAAAAAAAAAAGATTTGCAAAATGTTACCATTACACGTGAATCTACAACGGTCTCAAAATTACAAGTATTAAAGACAAAGATGAGTTCTTGCCTCTGTGCTACTCCATTATTAGAGAGGTAGTTTGGCTTTGTGTGTCCTGTGAGTTTTCTCAATATACCACTAACCTTTCTGGCTTGATTAAATCCATTCCCACCACAAACTGTCCTGAGCTGGTCACATACAGACTATCTCTTCCACTATAAAGTATAATTAGTTATTAACATAGCATATTAGGGACTTTTTATGTGATGGCACAACACTTGATCCATAACCAATATTTAACCCTCCAACTTATTCAGAGAATACCACTAGGTAGGCATCTACAACTAAAAGTTGATTTTGAAGACATTTTCATTGATACCTCATTGAAAAAAAATAAAATAAAGTCTGTTGTTAGGTACCCAGATTAGGCTTTAAATGTGCAGCAAGCTTAAAATATGGTTAAAAATGGTATAAAATTATTTCAATTAAATTTTTCTTTGAAGGTCAGGCACAGTGGCTCACGCCTGTAATCCCAACAATTTGGGAGGCCAAGGCAGGCAGATCACCTGAGGTTGGTGGTTTGAGACCAGCCTGACCAACATGGAGAAATCTCATCTCTACTAAAAATACAAAATTAGCTGGACATGGTGGTGCATGCCTGTAATCCCAGCTACTTGGGAGGCTGAGGCAGGTGAATTGCTTGAACTAGGGAGGCAGAGGTTGAAGTGAGCCGAGATCATGCCATTGCACTATGAACTGGGCAACGAGAGTGAAACTCCATCTCACCACCACCACCACCACCAACAACAAAAAAAATCTTTCTTTGATCTGATAAGAGAAGTGTTAATAGTTCTAGGCACACAGGGATTACTGGGACTCGGGAAAGGGAAAACTACAGAAAACAGTAGAATAACGGACATTGAAAAACTAGGCTTATACACTCCTCAGGTTTTGAAATTAGCTCTGGCCCTGAAATAGCAATTTAAGCCTAAATAGTCTTTAATATCTAAATAGCAGTCCCTGGGTAACCATTTCATGCAAAAAGCTGAGAAGTACAAACAGTGCAAGATCACTCCTCATTTGCTATAATAGGCTGAATTGCCACATGAAAGAAAGAGAGTTGCTCTGTTTAGCTTGAGGTGTCTATAAAAGTCTAGCCTTGTTAAGTGAGAGTCGAGATACATGAAGGCAGTGACAAGTTAAATAAGGAAAAACAAGAAAAGGAGATGAAAAAGGAAGAAGGGTAGCATGGTGATATTGTCTAAGTGATTGTTTAAAGTAACAAAGGAAAATTAGTAGAGCAGACAAAAAAATATATATAGTAACTCTCTGCCCTGATCCAAAAGAATGGTCATTAATAGCTACATACATTTCTGCACAGGAAGTCTCACACAATTCTCTTTGTGTGTGAAGCAAAGAGCAACAAATTGCCTCTTGTACTATGTGTACTGTACTTTGGTGGTGCCTGAAGGCATCAGGGTACCACTTTGAGTATCAGATTGCTGATTGAAGGGAACACACACACTTATGAATAGCAGAACCCAACTAAATGCCAACCCATCAGAGAACAGAACAGGGGTGGACATAAATAGCAGGGATGGAAAAGAAATCTCTTGCCCTATTGTTCAAGGATCTTTTACTAGGTAGGACTGGAAAGAAAGCTTAGGGCTGAAAGAAAAATATATTCATATCTTAAATTCTTGTTTATTTGAAATCTAGATGGAAAAATTGTAAGACTTGGTATATTCAGTAATTCTTTATACTAGAAAAAAGTGTGTGCTTTTATTAATGCTATAGGCTAAATGTTCATGTGCCCCTCAAATTCCTATGTTGAAATCCTA